CAAATAGATCTTCACTTCAAAGAAGAATGTAAAAAACATCACAATTCACAATCGAAATATTTATAGAAAAAAGGTGTAAAACATGATAATACAAAAAGTACAAAGCAACCATCTTATAATTCTCATGAATTAAAGCAGTAAGGGAATAGTTGCAGCAAAAAGTAGGCTCAGAGAAAGGAATTAGAAAGACCCTCTGCTCATACTAGAAAATCTAAAACTATCTTTAAAAGAACAAGTGAAATTGCATACCATTTAGAACTACATTTTAAATCTAATTGTTAACCTGATCCAACCCACCCGTTGAAATTAGCTTTGGGTGGATGCTTAACAAGTCAGGTCGTTAACAGATGAACTCGTTAATCACCTGTTAAATAACATGTCATTTTGGATCTACCTCGAAACCCATTAACACTCGTTTAGTAAGGGTGTTTGTGTAATTTCAATAATGACCAAACATAATCGTCACTCATCACTCCTCAGTTCAGAGTTCCCCTTTCGATTGCGGGACGAAGCCATCCAGGATTAAAGCCCCTCCCTTGACTACCTCGTCTATACAGTGATCGCTTCTTGATCGCCTACGCCATCGACTGCTTCGGCATCAACCTTGTACACCCACCTAAAGTTCCCTTCCTTAAGCAACTTTCATTTCACAGTCCTCTTTCTCTTTGGAATTTTGTTTGAGATTCTGTCTTTCTCTCTCTCCCCCTTCTTCTCAATCTCAATGATCTTTTGTTGTTTCAGAAATTTGGGAAGTTTCAATTTCTTTCTGGGTTTATGTTTGTTCTGCCTCTAATTGAATATGTTTTTGTTGATCATCCTCAAAAACATGACATGAGTTGTTCATATTTTTCTCTTTGCTTTGATGGGTCGATACTTAAGTTTCCATATTCTAGAAAGTTCAATTTTAATTTTAATTTTTGTATTTATAGATGTTGTTTTCTCTTTTAAGAAGTGACAATTTCAAGTTAATTTCAAAGATTAAGATGGTATGTAGCTTGAAGATGACCATGCCTCTACTAATTTTTTGCATAGCTTGCAGTGGTTCATAAATTAATTTGATGGTGAAATCATTTCTTTGAATACGATTGTTGCTAGTTATGAGCAAAATGATTAGTTGTTGTGTTTCTGTATCTTTAGGGGGTGTAGTTAAACTTGAATTTAAAAGGATTTTTAAAAGACTTTATAATCCTAATATAGTCAACCAATGGATTTTAAAGGATTTTTAGAATCCATGTAAATCTAGGTGTAGTCAATGAAAATTTTAATAGTTGGTTTTAAAATCCATCCAATTCTAGATGTATTAAAAAATTAAAGATTTTGCAAGATTTCGTTAAGTTGCCGATTTTGTGGGTTAAGATTTTGCAAGATTTCAATAAGTTGTTAGATGTATTTGACAGTTAAGATTCAATGTTGCAAAATCTATCAAAATCCATAGAAATCTGTTATATGAATCTTCTCAAAATTTTCCAAAATTCATATGGATTTTGTAGAAGTCTACACAATCCTATGAAATCCATCAATTATCAGGATCTATTAAAATTATCTCAAATCCAAGTTTGAGTACACCTCCCCTTAGATTCAAGGCAACTTTAAGTGGTATGAATTTTTATGGTGGTGAAACTTTCTTCCTCTTTATTGTTTGCATGAATAACATTCTCTGAGATTTTTATTTTTTTAGTACCATTTTCATTGAACCTAATTACCATTATTTATGATTCCTGCTGGTTTCATTTTGAATTGGTGCAAGCATTGAATTATAACTGCCTATTATTTTTTGTTATTCATCGTTGGTTTTCGTTTATGGTTCATGCGTATGGATCCTGATGAAGAGGACATTGAAACTATAGAAATGTCAACAATGAATCTAAGTGATACACAAGGTACAACAATTGCAACAAGTCTTTCAAAGAGAAAGAAAAGGCATACGAGTGGGTAAGAAACGTCAAAAGAGATCTCGTATTTGGAATTTGTTTGATGAATTGCTTGTTGGTCATGGTAATAAACAACATAAGAAATGTAAAAAATGTGGGATAGTTTATGCATATGATAATAATTGGGGGACAAAAACCATGTTCATGTAATAAAAAAAACATCAATATGATATGAAGAAATCTCAAGTTAGATTGCATTATCCTCAATTTAATCATGATATTTTTTTTTGAATTTTTGATTGAGGTTATAGTTAAGCATGATTTGGTTTTTAGGTTTGTTGAATATGAGAGCATTAGAGCTTTATTTAAATACATATCTCCTAATATCAAACTGCCATGTAGAAATACCGTTAAGAAACATGTGTCGAGGATGTTTGAAGATGAAAATGTAAAACTTCGAGATTGATACAATTGAGGGAAGAATTTGTTTGACATCTGACGTATGGTCTTCTGTTGCAATTGATGAATATCTCACACTCACAAATCACTTTGTTGACAATAAATGAAAAATGCACAAAAGAATTTTAAATTTTTGTCAGGTCTCCTCCACAAACAGGTGTTGCTTTATCTGGAAAAAAAAAAAACTTAATGAATTGTTAATTGATTGGGGAATTGAAAAGAAATTATTTTTCATTACTTTTGATAATGCATCTGCAAATGATATTTTTTTTTTTGCGCTATTGAAGAAACAATTGAATTTTAGAGGTTTGATATTAATGGATGGAAAGTTCTTCCATTAAGTTGATATTAGGAAAATAGTATTGGAGCACGGATATAAGGGAATTTCTATCATTAGTAGCAACCTCGAAAATTCAATTATTTCTTCAATAACTCAACAAAACAATTATTTGCAATGACATTATCCATAGTAATGGAAAATAATTTCTTTTCAATGTCCCACTCAACTAATAACACATTATTTTTTTCAAACAAATCAACATCGGTATGTGGTGGAGGCATATGACATATCTTTAAAATTTTCTAATGCAGTTTTCATTATTTGTCAACAAAGTCAACTGTGAGTGTGATATATCTATCAGTTGCAGTAGAAGATATAAGTTAGATGTCAAACAAATTCTTCCCTCAATTATATCTAACCAATCTCGAAATTTTATCTTTTCATCTTCAAACATCTTTAACACATATTTCTTAAAAATATTTCTACAGGGCTATTTGATATTAGAATATATGTATTTAAATAAAGCTCTAATGCTCTCATACTCAACAAACCTAAAAAGAAAATCATGCTTAACTATGGCCTCAATCGATAACCCATAAAAATATCATGATTATATTGAAGAGAAGACAATCCAACTTGATATTTCTTTATATCAGTTTGATGTTTTTAATTACATGAATCCATTTATTCAACATGTATTTTGTCCCAAAAACTACTATAAGATACATAATTATCCCACATTTTTTACATTTCGTATGTTGTATATGATCAGGACTAACATGCAATTCTTCAAACAAAGTCCAAACACGAAATCTCTTTTGGTGTATCATACCTACCCACATGCCTTTTGTCTTCCTTTTTAAGGACTTTTTGTAGTTGTTGTAATTTGCATACCATTTAGATTTTGTTTTTTGGTCAAACGATAGATTTTGTCAAATTAGATGTTAGATTAGACATCAATGGGGTTTGAACCCATACCGTCATGCAAGGACTTAACATCTTTCAACCACTGTGGTAAACGGTCACTTGCGCATACCATTTAGATTCACTGTTGCCAGTTCCATAGCCTCAATGTCATTTTCATCAATATCTATTTGCAAAACAGTAGGCAATTGTAATTCGAAACTCGCACCAAATAATAGTAATTGAATTTTGAAAAAAAAGTACTAAAAATAAAAACATCGGAGAATGTTAATCTTGCAAACAAGACAAGGGAAGAAGATTTCACCACCATAAAAATTTAGACTCTAAATATGCAGAAACACCACAACTAATCGTGCATAACCAACAACAAACTTATTCAAGAAATGATTTCAACATCATTAATTTTTGAACTACTGCAAGCTATGTAAAAAGGGAGTAAAACCATCATCAACTACAAGCTAAACACCATCTTAATCTTTGAAATTGTCACCTCAAAAAGAGAAAAAAAAACATCTATAACTACAAAAATTAAAAAATACGAAGAACTCATGTCTTGTTTTTTAGGATGATCAACAAAAATAGATTTAATCAGAAGCAGGTATAAACCCATAAAGAAATTCAAACCCTCCAAATTTCTGAAACAACATATGACCACAGAGATAGAGGGGAAAAGAGAGAGAGAGAGAATCTCAAACAAAATTCTAGAGAGAGGACATACCGTGAAATGAAAGCCAATTTAGGAAAAGAACCTTGGGAGGGTGGAGGAGGTTGATGTCGCGATCAGCAACGTAGGTGGCCAAGGAGTGAAGGGAGGCGTCATGGTCGCCGGTGTAGATGAGGCAGTTGAGGGAGCGGTTTTCATCTTGGATGGTTCTGTCTTGCAATTGAATGGGGAAATCCAAATTGAGGAGTAAGAAGTAATGTATTTGGTTTTATCTTTATTGAAATTACACAAACACTCTCAATTGCGAGGTTAACGGTTTTGCAAGTAAACTCAAAATGACCCGTTATTTAACGAGTTCATCTGTTAACGATCTGACTTGTTAACGAGTCCACCTAAATGCTAATTTTAACGGGTGAATTGAAACGAGTAAACGAGTTGGTCTAAAATGCCAGCTCGCCCAATTCCTCTCTTCTGCGGCGACACCAGTCACCACCCCAAAATCTCTCTTCTCCGTTAGTCCACAGTCCACACACGTACTCTCTGTTTTGTTTGGTTAGAAAGTTAGGTGACAGATGACATTATTTTATTCACGCACGTAGCATGCTGAGTCAGGGTAAATTTGAAATTTTGAAAAGGTTTTTGGTTACCGTGTAAAATTAGACCCGGCAAAACCCCAATTCATTCGACTTCTTCTCTCTCTCGTTTCCTCTCCTGCGTCGCCGGCAGCCTCTGCTCGCGACTTCTCTGCCGGCTTTCTTTGTCGGAGGATTCGTCTTATCTCTCTCTCTCTCTGAGGTATGTAATCTCACTTAATTCTTCAGTTTTTCTTCCATTTTTTGCTCTGTTTTTCCTTCGTGATTCTTCTATCTGCTAGATATTAGTTGATAAAAACGATGCCGAAAACTTGCTGTTTTGGGGAAAGGTTGAAACTTTAGGGTGAAAATTCAGTTCTCTGATTTTACCGAAAACAATTTTTTTTGGGAAATATTGAAACTTTAGGCTACAAATTAAGTCCTCTGACTTTAGTGTTGGCACAGGCATGTGTTTTTCCAACCCGGATAGTTGGGATAAGGCACTGTGTTATCTTTTACTTGAAGAACGTTGGCAGGGTTGTAATGGGTATCCGCCCAAGTTCAAATCATGTTTGGTTGATTCGGGTTTTCTCAGAAACTCTCTGTTTTTTGTGGAGAAGGGAAATTTCAGAGCTTATTACGCCACTGCGTCTGCGCTGTTGACGAGGTATGCCCATGTGTTTGAGGAAAACCCATTGCCGGTTGAAGCCTATGTGATTCAGGAGATTAAAGCTGTAAGGGAAAGGTCTGGCATTTGGAGAAACCGGAAACTTTATCCAGACGTTGCCAGAGTGTTAAAATCTTTGGACTGGGAGGTTGCATGGGACCTGAGGTTTTCCTGGTCTGTGAAGCAGTATGGCTTTTCTCATTCTTTAAGTGTATTTAGTGTTATTGTTCATGTCTTTGCATTGGCGGGGATGAAAATGGAAGTGCAGTCTTTTCTCAATGATATTGTTTGCTATTATCGAGATGCTAAGTATGATGCATTTGGGTTGTTCCCATATGTATTTGATTCATCTCACAATGGGGCGAGAACTCTTGTATTTGATGCACTCATTACGGCTTTTGCTGCCTACTCGATGCTTGAGAATGCTGTGGATGTTTCTGTGCAGACCAAAAACATGCAGCTTGAACCACACATTTGGTCTTGTAATTTTTTGCTCAAGTGTTTGGCAGAAGCAAACATATTGGAATCTGTTAGGATTTTATTTGAATGTTTAAAAAAGTATGGTCCTTCACCTAATGTTTACACTTACACAATTATGATGAACTTTTACTGCCAAGGACATGAAGGGAAGGGTGTAGATATTGGTGAAGCGACCAACATTCTTCAGGAAATGGAGAAGCGTGGGAAACACCCAACTGTTGTGGTATACGCCAAATATATTCATGCACTTTGTAAAGTTGGATGGGTTGAGTTTGCTTTGGACTTTATTCGGAACTTGAGATGCAGAAATCAACCTCTTAATAGTTATTGTTATAACGCCATACTCCTTGGTTTTTGCCAAAAAGGCGAAACATATGAAGCTTGGAAGATTTTGGAAGAAATGAAGACGTATGGGACAATACCAGATGTTTATTGCTACACCATTTTAATAGGTGGATTTTGCAAGTTGACCTCTTAATTCACTTGTTGATAATGTCATTTGGGGTTTTTAGTTGTCAGCGTAAAAGAGACAAATTCATCGAGTATATATTTTTAACTCAATTCTTTTTAATGAACTTTTCCCTAAAGAAATATGGCAACAAATTCGCTGTTTAATGTTTTTTCATTATTTATATACATTTTGGTAATTTCATCTATAGAACAGGAGTAACAGGTTGGGGAATCATGGTGAATCACAGCCATTGATTTATCCATGACTAAGTTAATTTTCATGACACAGCCGTACTTTCTTTGTGTCTAGGACTATAAATGAAGCCAAGTGCTCAAACATAATGAAGAAATGATGGTTTGAGTTGTCTATCTGACTGTCTTGGATTGGCATTGGCATTGTAGCATATTTTAGAGCATTTGCGGTATCTCTTTCCTGTTTGTCTGCTTTGAAATGGTTTAACTTAGAACACAAGTATCATTCTTGTGATTTACCGTTGAAAATGTGTCTTGAAAGGATTTTCGCATCTGTGCTTTTGCAACTTGCTTTGCACACTAAACTTCCGAAGTAAGCTATTTTAATATTTGATACTTTTATAGGGTTGTCTTGGAAGGCACTTCACAGTTTACACATATCATGGGAAGGTTAAATGGACGGTAACATCCTCAGAAACCTGCCAATTTACTTGAGTGGGAAGTGATTTCTACACATCCCCTTCTCCTCTTGCACGCCTCTCTATATTTCTGTTCCTTGACGGCAGAAATAAGTGAGGGGTTCAGGTGGAGAAAAGAGTTGTGGGGGGTTCACTTCCGAGATTAATATTATTATTTGTTTTCATTTTTTATCTCTAATTGATCATCATTAATTGAAATACCCTTGTTACTACTATGTTTAGTTATCCTAATCTATAGTAAGTCATTCCATTTTCTCTTTCGATGTTTCATGAAACAATGTGAAATCTCTTGCCCAACACTTTTTGCGGACTTCCAATTGACGTTGACTGTGCTTTAGAGGTGGGAAAAACGGGAAGAGAGGGATGTGAATAGCATTGATATTGTAGTAGTTGGTTTAGGTTTGTTTTCCTCAGGTCTCAAAGGGGGAAGCAACCTTGGATTGTGGACAGGATGGCACTGAAATTACTTTTGGAGAACGTTAGTTATTGGTCGGGCTCCATCCTGGGTTTTGATACCGGAAGCAATACCGGAGGCAGTTGGCGACCGGAGTAACTTGAAGCTCAAGGAAAAAGCTTCAAATGGAGAGTGCAGTTTTCCTTTCCGAGGCTACCATTCGAGGTTTGAGACGATCTTGGCTACTATCTGCTTAAAGAAGTTGTCGAAGGCTACATTGCGGGTCTTCTGTTAGGAGACGATTTTGTTTATCGAGAAAGCAGTTGTAGAATCATTCGTTTTATTGTTGATTCAGCTCATAACACTTGGTTACGTGTTTTTCTTGTGTAAGGGCATCTATGTTTGGCTTTACCGCCTATTGTGTAATTGATATATCCCATGCTTCACAAACAAGAGTAGATGAACCCACACAAACGAGGGGTTAATATTATGGCATATTTGTTGTTTTGTGCCCTGACAGAGCTGTCAATTTTCTCCAAACTTTAATTTTAATTGTTTACCCTCCTTAACTTTTATAATTAGCCAATTTCCCCTTGAACTTTAATTTTAGCCGATTACCCTTGAACTTTTATAAATAGCCAAATCACTTCCTGACTCTAGATTTTAAAAATTTCCATTTCGTTTGATCACACAGACAACACATGACAATTGTATTGGGGCAAAAAGAATGGAAAATTGGATGGAAAATTTTAAAATCTAAAGCTAGGAGGAAAATTGGCTATTTATAAAATTTTAGGGGGTACTATGCTAAAGTTAAAGTATGGAGGAGAAATTGTCTAATTATACAAGTTCAAGAGGGTCAACAGCTAAAATTAAAGTTTGGGGGGTGGTAATTGGCAGCTCTATACAAGTTCAAGGTGCAAACTAACATATACCTCTAAATCCTTATCACCCAAAAATCCTTATCAGGAACCCCTTCTTGTTAATTGATTCATAGCTGTCCATTGACATAAGTTTCAGAGCTATTCATTATAATTTTTTTTATAGTCGTTAGGAGTTTGTAGCTTAAAGGGTGAAGAACATTTACTTATGCATTTGAGGTTTTAAATTCGGTTTTCTCCTTCCATAGTACTGCTTGTATCAAAAATCTAATGGCTGTTTTGAAGTAAAAAACATTGAAAAGCATAAGCTGCTTCTATCATCTTATGTATTAATTTCAAGCAACAATGTTCCTATAAGTTGTAACTCCCTTATAACTTGCTAACCAAATTCCATACGAACGGTATCCTACCATTTTGAATATCGATTTATTAGTAAAAAGCCGTCTTCTATATTTGAATTGCCGAACCAAGAATTTTATGTGAGAGTTGAAACCCAAAAGGGAGAATTGGGAAATTTTCCTCATAGGGGATCATAGTGGTTTTCCTTGAGATGAAAATCTGCCCGCCGGGTTTTATAATTTGCAAATTCTTCTGCGGTTAATTAAAAGAAAGAAGTTGGTTGATATTATGACTGTACTAGGTAGATAGATATCATTATGGAAGAAGTTGATCGTTGAAATGGTAATTGATAACTAGAGGTACAATATATCAATTGTGTCATTCTAAATTGGTCTCAACATTTTTAAACATTCCATACAAGTATCCAATCTATTGATAATGTCACATTCGTTGAGCCCCAATTAAATTTATGTTAGATTAACTAAGTTTTACTTTGTCTCCAACATCAATAGAAGGTCATGAAAACATAGCTTCCACTAAGTAACCGTCCTCTAGCCATCACCTCCAAATCCAATGTACAACCACAAACTCCCACCCTGTAACTCAAGTCGCCAACATCCAAAAAAGATCATGAAGTTTGCTGAAATGGTATTAATTACCATGATGCAGCTTCAGCTACTTGTGTCGTCTACCAAAAGAACTGGAAGCCTTACTACCTCCTTTAAACTCTATTTGAATTCTTATCTTTTTTTTTAACAAAAATTTCCAATATTTATTATTTTATTCATGAATTTTTCATATTTAATTTAATTTTTCATTTTCATATCTCATTGTTGCCACAGTAAATTTAACGAAATAATTGACTGGAGTAATGCTATTCATATCATGTTTTCGTACCACATTTTCATACCACCTTAGGTAGCATTTTGATGTGGACATCCACATCATTTGAATTAATCAGATTTTTAAATTTAGTTCATTATTTAATAAACTAATAATTAAGAAAAACTAATTAATTAAAATGTTTGGTATATTAGTCTTTCTCTTTCTCTTTCTTTTCCTTAGGTTTTGCAAATTTTTTAAATAATGTGGCTGTTCACATCAAATGCCACCTAACATGGTTTGGTATGAATATCATTACTCAATTGAATGCGACTTAATAACTGCTACTCGCTTTATTACTATGCATGGAGTTTCCATGGATAATAAAGCAAAAAGATGAGTTTTTTGCAAAGGAGATTCAAAAGTCCCAGAATGGAAGCTATACACACACCGGCGCATCTTACCCTCATACACCCAGCTGCAATCTTACGTGGCCACTCCACGCCTTCTCTCCCACCGCGCACCGCCCACTCTCCCGCTCCAACGAAACCCACTTCATTTCCCTAACCCCACTGGATTTTTGGATTTCTATGACCCAGGAATTCTGTTTTTTTAAACTTTCAATTTACGTCTTACAAAAGAAACCAGATGGGGCCCCTGGGAAGTCTTTGACCACCTTGACCCTAAAATCCTAGCCATATCCTCTTGTGTCTGCAAGTCATGGTTCATTTCTCTGTCTTGCGACCACAATTGGCAGCCCATTTGCGCTTCCCATTTCCCTTCTCTTTCTACCCTCAGACTCACTAACCCTACCGTCCCCTACCACCGCCTCTACGTCATGGGTCAAGCTGCCGCCAAACGCCGCCTTCAAACCCCCTCGAAACCCCGCCTTTCCCTCGACAGCCTCATCTTCATAGTCAACGTCTTCAACCCCAATTCATTAAGCAATGTTCTCTCAGGGAAAAATCGGAATCTTATTTTTTCGCATGGCGGATCAAGCGTGGAGGATCAGATTCAGGGCAGTGAGAGTCTGGGTGTCTGGAAGGGGGGGAGGGGTGTTTTTTGGGATGATGGACCTTTTGTGGAAGGCCCTGCGCAAGGAATGTAGTTGGTGGGAATTGAAGCGAGATTTTGAAGTGGGCTTTTATGATTTGGAGGTTGGTTTGAAGTGAGGCTTTTGTGATCAGGGATGTGGAGTGATTAGTAGATTGAGATGTTGTTAGGATACTTGTTTTTGTACCTTAGGGGGTTCAGGCCTTATTATAAGGGTTTTGATAGGCCACGAATTGGGTAAATAATGGTTTCTACCAGGATTGAATTTTTAGTTTTCGCCATTAGTTACTGGTCGAGGCCATAAGGAATGTAATGTGAGAGGGAATCTCTGGAGTCTTTCCCTCTCCACTTACTCGTAACAGGTTGTACCGACGGATGGTTGCTGAGTGGTTTGGGTTGTCAAACCTGTACACCACTGCTTCCATGACTGAGTTGGCAAAAGTAGTTCCATACTGAGTTGCATAGTCGTACGTGTGTCTTCTTACATGTAAGGACCTCATGTTGGAAACTCTTTAAGAACTTCGCGATGGTCGAGCTATACCCGGTCCTTCTAGCAAATAGACATTTGATCTTTAGACTTCGTGATGTTTAGATTAGCCAGCCGGTGCTTTTTTTTCCTATCGTTTCATATGTACATACGACCAAATTTTCTGTACTTGTGTATAAACAAAGCTTGTGCATAAATCTTATTTTGATTTTCTGTATATTTTTTTGGATGAAGTTCAAAATTCTATGATGCCTTGCAATTCAAGTTTGGGTTATTCATATATCAGTACTTGGAAATCTTACATTTCCAGAAATGAACATTGAAAAGTCGATACATTAGGAACACTCATCTTAACTTGAGTGGAGAACAGAGGCCAAGGAACAACTTTAGGATTCTCTACAGGGAGGTTTGGGTGTGTCGTTAGGGACGACAGGGGTAACTTTGTTGCTGCGTCATGCGTGAACTTCAAGATGTCTTTTCTCCCTTGCAGGCAGAAGCTTTGGCAGCAAGGGCTTGTTCAGTTTGGGCGGACTCGAGGGGTTTCAGAGATTTCTTATTGAAAGGAGACTCTTCAGATTGTGACGGTTATTGTGATGTCTCTACTAACATGTCGTCATCAATTAGGCAGTCAGTAGAAGACACAAAGAGTATTCTCGGCTTCCTCACCCATGTCCGTCGCCAAGCTAACACGGTTGCGCATAGATTTGCTAGGTTTGGTTTGAAAGTTGGCAGCCAATGTGAGTGGTTTGCTCAACCTCCTAGTTTTATCATTGACCTCCTTGTTGAGGACCCTATGTAACCGGCCTATGTACTTTGTTTGAGACTTCTTTTGATCTTTTCCTGAACCAATGCAACACTATCGTTTTTATAAAAAATAAAAATAAAAAAAGGCACAAAATAAAATTGTTGTTGTAAAACTGAGTTTGTAAGTGGGTGAGAGAGAGGGTCGAGAAAGAGATTCCCAGTGTATGAGAATTGTCTGTTCACTTTTGGCCTTGTTCTTTATTTATACTTGTTGATGCAAAAAACCGGAGGGGTGTTGGAACAACGTAAATCCGACCGTGAATTTGCAAGAAAGTAAATAACACAAGATGTATCGTGGTTCACCCCAATGTTTGGGCTACGTCCACACTGATATTGTATTTCTCTGTTTGTGAGAGGACTGTGAGGGAGAGAGAGCTTCTCTGAGAAAGAGAGCTTTGTAATGTGAGAGTGAGGCTTTGACGATCTCAGGCCTAAGAATTGGCATCTCCCAATGAGGAGGGTGATGAGTCATTTTATAGAATAAGGGCTCCTCACTTATTACATATTTGCCCTTTCATTTATTACATAATTACATTTGAGTCATTCGAGTATTTATACGAGATCTAAATACGGAGGCCCTAAGTATGGTACAAACAGTAGTCCCCCAAGTCTTCAATTAAGAGAATCCTTTGGCTGGAGACTTGAAATTCAGTCCATGTGTGGCCCGAAGTAACTAGATGTCGTCTAGGACTGATACTCGATATGAGGCGGTGCTCAATCTGAAATGATGCTCAACTAGAAGTAGCACATGTTGCGAGGCTGCTCTGCTTGTGGCTTATGTTGCCTTGGTTGGCTCGACTTGTGGCGTTGAAGGTAAGGGAGTCCATTTTATAGAATAAGGGCTCGCTACTCAATACATAAATGATGGGCTAGAGTTGATGCTCGCAGCGAGGTGGTTGCTCAGTAGGCGGCGATGCTCTCTAATGATGGTGAGGGAGTCCCTTTTATAGAACAAGGGCTCGCTCCTCAATACATGAATAATGGGTTAGGAGTGATGCTCGCGGCGAGGTGGTTGCTCAACTGGCGGCGATGCTCTCTAATAAGGGTGAGGGAGTCCCTTTTATAAAATAAGGGCTCGCTTCTCAGTACATGAATAATGGGTTAGGAGTGATGCACGCGGCGAGACGGTTGCTCAGCTGGGGACGATGCTCTCTAATGAGGGTGAGGGAGTCCCTTTTATAAA